ATGATCAGCTTTGAACCATACTTAAGATTTGAAAGTTAATGATACTAACTGGTTGCCGAAATAGAGTTGTGTGTAAAGCTGCATTTTAACTTCCTATCAGACGGAGGCTGAGTGCTTCTATCATTAAGTTAACACGAGTCACATATTATCAGTTGGTATATGGTAACAAAAACACTGTAATAGTTGAGAATCTAAATCATTAGATAATGAAAGATTTTACAAGACGAAGATTATCTTAGTAAAATATCATGGAACTACATTATGTTCTGCTAGGAAACATGTCAATCCATTCTTACGATACTGTCCAAAGAAATTCATATGTAAACCTGTGTTATTCAGCTATTAGTGGATCTGAATGGTATCTGCTTTTTTTAAAAACCAGCATAATTATAGCAAAGCCTGTCACAGGACATGTACATAGTTTTCAATAAACTGGGTGATCCTGTCAATAGTCATATGTTTGTCTCAGAGATTGAAGCACATATGTCTAAGTTCATAACATACTTCTGTGAAATATTACTAAAAAGATCATCATCAGAAGTTTCATTTCTTTAAAAATTTAATAAAGGTAACATTATTTAACTACTTTACAATAGATAAAAACTTTCTAGATCTCATCTGGTTATGAATTATAGCTAAAACTAAAAGTATGTCATGTCTCCTTGAAGTCACTAACTTCTAGTCTGAGCAATGTTGGTGGATGTAGACTACTTGGTTGGGGTCAGCGTGACTTTCGTAACCAATGGTTGGAGATTCTGGGTGATATGGCTCGGAATCGATCACAGTGGCGTAGGTGTATACACTCTGTCTTCCCTTAAACTATGAGATTAAAATCGCTTCATATCTTTCTTTCTACCAACTAATATTTTCTTCCTGTACTATGTCCTTATATACAATCTTATTTTATCTATTACCACCACTAAACTGACTATTATGAATCCGGTGTTCATCTTGTTGTGTTAATGAGGTATGGCAACTTGGACGGATGCACACATGTGCCTGGTCGTACGTTGTAGCTCACTGACCGACTGATGTCATGTCTCTTTTCACAGTTAAAACTTAATTCAAAACGTGAGCATTTACAATAGTTTAAATGATCTGGACACTTTTATTATTCAGTGGTGAGTATTATTTCTCTATCCTGAAGAATTACAATCAGAATGATTGCAGTGGACAAATTACCGTTTAATTGCTGAATTAGTATTATCAATTTTTTTTTAAAAATAACTGATAATGAGAAATGACGATAACGTTTTACCAACTTTTTTCAGTATATGTCAGTTTGATTAAACTATAGTTTTCTGGATACAAGAAAATCTTCGTACTTACACTATCATACGGTTTATTAACAAAAAGAAAGACTAATGTTTTGACATAACACCCACTGAAACCCAACAGCCCATTATTCAGAAATTAAATATTTCTTCACTAAAAAAACACTAATTTTGCAAATAGCACAGAACTAAATTCACAGAAAAAATAGTGATCATTGTTTTTCCAGGTTGACATAAATTATTACCTATATAAAGGAGCCAAAAACAAAATCCAGATGAAAGAATACTTACCTAAGTCAAATAATTTTGTTATAAAAAACTATACTGATGAATGGACCAAATACTTTATCTGTTGAAACAACTTCACATAACTGTGTGAATACTAGAGTCCATAACCTTGCAACAGTAGTCTTCAGGTGACATTAAGGTTAACATCAATTTTGAAGAGAGGATATGAAATATTTATCAAATTTTTAAATTCCTAGCCACTATATGTCTTTCTGATGCATTGCAATGCTTCAAAAATATTCACGTTTACAATCCCGTATTAAGAAGTTTATTTATGTAATTTTTTTATGACCAGTTTATTAAAAATCGTATTATCGTGTATTGTAAAATTACAAGAAATTAATTTACTTCAGCACCGAAAGACTGTTCTAAATCATGAATTTTTTATTGTCAGGCAAGTTGAAAAATAAATCTTACTATTAAGAAAGTGCTTAGATTAAAAAAGTGATATTCGTACCATTTTTCAATTATCGAAGTGGAACACAGTAACTAGCTAATAGCATCATGATGGTATTTAGGGTGAAAAAATTGGTGCATTAGCTTACGATTAAAACCAATTAATGTTGCATAATGTTTTTTTCGAAAGCAAATTACTCATCTAACAACTAGGCTTTCGGTTCAGTGGATAAGATTAGCAACAGTTCTGCTCGATCAACATGAATACTTTTAAGTAGCATATAAATCATCAACATTTTTGATGGTCCAGTTCTGCATAGACGTTGTCTTCTTTAAACCGTTTTGAAAGTTTGTTGAATAGAATTGTACATGCCTCCAGTAACTTGAGCATAATCCAATACTAGTCACTAAAATTTTAATAGGAGCTGCGACCAAAGGAATTCAGCCTCGTAGGATGTCACTTATCCAGAGCCATCACACAATGAAACAGCCATAATCGAGGCTGCACTTGCTTAACTAACGTTGAAAATATTCTCGCGCCTCCAAGCCCGTCTCTGTTATCCGCCATGCGTCATGTTAGTTGTTTAATTACAATAGTTGTCCAAGTAGTGTTTGAGATTTAGGGAACCATATCTGATTTAATGGCTTAATAAGTACTGAACTTTAACATAAGTGGCTTACTCTCTGGGATATGCATACAACTACTTATAGGGTCACCTAGTTCATTCACAACTGTATCATCAGGATAAATGAAATCCATCACTTAGGGAAACAGTTTTGTATATGAAACTAAAACAATTCTACCTATAATGTCAAGCTTGAATGGAATATATTTCTCTGAAGTTAAGTTAAAAGGTTGCTGGTCAGTTATGGTATCTATTTTCAAATTCCTTAAATGATAACAGTAAAAAATTGTTCAGCGAATTAAATTATGCAGTTATTTTACATCTGGATAACAGTCGACTGTCAAGGAAATTCAGTTGATGACAACTTTGAGGGTGTTTTCTTTGTATAGTACTTTTAACCAAATAGACATACACAATTCATCATCTAGTCGATAAAATTGGTTAAGCATCGAAAAAATACTATAAATAGTCGTGCTCTCTAGATGGTAGCACATGTACGTTATCCAGAAAATTGTTTAGTTCAGTGTCATATGAATAACTTAGTAATAAGCCTACGACTGATTCATGCAAAGGGAAACTATAAACTGTGTTAGTTGATTTTTTCCACTCTCAGATATGTAGGTCATTTACAGAGGAAATCAGCATAATGTCACAACAATGCAGACACAAATCAGGAAAATGTAAAAAAGCGTGTAAGCTGGAAAATCGATATAATGAAGACACCAGTTAATCCATGATAAATAAACAGATAAGAGCTTTCATCCAGACAAATAATTACTTGAAAGTAGTTTATTTTTGTTAATGTATTTACTGTCTTATTTTCACTCTTTCTGACAAATAGATTTTAGATGGTGAAATATGAATTTACATGCTATATAAATATGTTCAATTTTACATCTAATATTCGTAGTTTATGCATTCAATTATTGTCCAACAAATCGGATTACTAGAATATATACACATTCATAGTGATTTTGTTTCGTGTAATCTTAAAGCGTTGAGTTTTGTAAACAAAATAAAAATAAAATAATTTTTTATGAGATTCACTCTCTTGGGAAACATAAAGTTAAAAAATTCTATGTTCGTTTGAAAAGTAACGAAAGAAATGCCAATACAAGGAAATTTACTGTCATGACGTGAATCACATGAACTCTTTGTCATCTTAAAAGGTGCCATAATTAAATTATGAGTTCCTTTCTTCTCAGGTTCATGCTCTTTATTTTTATCAGGGCTAGCAAAATAAAATTAGCGATTATCGTAAAATTCTTACGCAAATATACTTTCTGTTTTGCCAAATCACTTACTATGGAACTAGGTGACTAAAGTGAAATTAAACCATACACCTCAAATGAATGATCAGTCAATAAAACGGGAAATCTCAATTCAATTGCGAGCATAATTCAAGCGCTTCTTGCAAGTCTCTACCATAACTATCCTTACTAACTCTTGAATATAAAATTGGGATTTTGTTTTCGTTGTTGGATTAAACTCCGTGTCATAAAGTTTCTCTTTTTACATACTAGCATTCAGAAAATATTTAAATCAGATTTTAGCATTCATAATTCCTAATTGTCTTTGTATAATTTCAAAGATATTACCCACTTTAATAATTCGTAAGAGAATATAACCGAGATTAAGCATATTAATTACTTAACTGTGAATATCACTATACAGTACTTACAAACCAACCTGAAGACACCTGATCGCAGTCAAAATGATCAACCATACTTAAAACTTTTAATAAACGCAGTGAAAAGTTTTCAGAGAATTTTCTAAAAGGTACTTCTATAATGTTTGACCACAATATTCAAATGAAAGTAATCACTGACTGCTTCAGTGTAGTAATTTATTTATTATTAATTTTACTGCCAATTAACTTATCAGTATTTCCTTTTAACTTACAAACCTATCCAAGCGTAAATACCCATTACATTAAAAAAATACTCAGTAACAAGCATTTTGGTAAGTCACAGTTTTTATTATAGTATTACTAATGATCATTGTTTACGACTACAGCTCTAGTGGTTATCACTTTCCAAATAATGACAATTTTAGCCAGTTTCCATTTGGGAATTGAAATCGCTGGGCGAATCGTTAAAAATTAGAGAGAACTGAATAGGAACGTTTAAGATATTTCATCGAATACTGTTATTCCGTGATGAAATATCATAAAAGCCACTTATCTGGAAAATATTAATTGTTCAACCGACTGATTGTTGAAAAAGCTGACTTCTATTTAGGTATTTCTGATCCAGACTTCATAAGTAACAATGCATTCCACAAATTTTCAATAAGCATTGAAATGTCTATAAGTTGATAACTTAGAAAATATTTTGCCGTGAAATATAAATCACGTCTTTGCACTACAAAATTATTTATGGTAATTATTCAAAATAAAATCACTACAAATACTCACGTGCAAAATTGTGAAGTTCTCCAAAACGGAATTCATTAATTCTCGCTGAGGCAATTGTAATAGCTTTCCAATGAATTTCTTCATATAATCACACATAGGACTACGTAAAAACCGATATACAAAACGTCCATTTTCGGGTCTAGGTTGTTCATCCTTGATTTTACAGCAGGAACAACAAAATATTGAATAATAAAATGAAACATTGAACAGGTGTCTTCCATTATGCATGATATTACGTTTTTAATGATGTTATTTGATAAAATATTAATCATATATTCTGGCATGAACTGATTAAATACAAGCCAAATAACGAATTTAAACATACCAATGTAAATTTTTTTAACCTAAAATCTTACAGACTCATCGTACGTTACTTTACTAAAGACTGATGCCAAAAATACAGTTGGGTAGTACCACCGCAACTAAATAATAGCGAAATACACAATCTGAGTCAGTGGCATTTTCAGCAACTAATCATATTGCAATGCATGTACAGTGAATTTATCATTTAAAGCACGAGTTGCAATTTATACTTAATAGGATGCAAAATGTGTAGATTAATATTGGGATATGCGTTTGCTTAAATATTTGACCCATTCAACGACAAGACTTTATTACTGGGACATGTTACCCTATGGAACGTCTTTATAAATTAATATATTCGGTATATAACTCAAAATACTCAGTAGTACATGACCTGAAAACTAGCTACATTTTACCTTGATCACTTCATAAAATTTCAAGTATACAGATATTGACTATAAAGTTCACAATTTTCTAAAGATTGATAATGTATTAGCGGTCGTTTGCAAATCATTACAGCAGTATCGACAAATGAACAGTAAATGTACACAGTGATCATAGTCAACTGATAATATAGTAACCTGAAAATTAATGCCGAGTGAATCTCGACATAGTGACTCAGACATCGGTTATCGAATTCCTGGGTTGTCACTTTCAATACCATTAATTATCTGAATTATATTCAGTGATCAGTGCCCTTGATGAGTACATTTATTCGGAGATAGCACTCGTTAAAAATTGATATCAACCAAAGAACTATTCGAAAACAAATAGCAATACACAGTTGCTTCATTTCATAGTCTGTATTCTCTATCAGCGAGATCTAAATGTTCTGAATTAGGTCCCGCGTTTCGTGGTTTGTGAAGGCTTCTGAAGAGTTTTAAACTATGATAAAACGCGTCTTTAACACTCCATGGTTTATAGTTATTCAGTTTATTACACGAGCCATATTTAATCTATCCGACAATAATTCATTCCGTTTTCATCTGTTTTCACAACATATTAAAATCTACTTTTAAATTCATTGAAGCTTTAAATTATTATAGGTGAATGTGAACACTTGCCGTTAGTATGATGATTTACACTAGGTTTGGTGATATCCAAAGGCACGTTGTCTAATATGAATTCTCTCTAAAGTCTTTTACGTACTTAAACATGCACTCATTCACCATTTTAAAAAATACAGTTTTATTCTGTGTATGAGAATAATAGCCTGTACTGAAATTGATTACAATATTAAATATGCTCATAACAAAACGTCAAGACAATTTTTATTATCGTGCTTAAAATGTATCTAATAATTAACGTTTCTGGTTTGTTTTTAAATGATTCATTAGATGAATTCGTACCCGTCTATATCATCACGCTGAGTTAATGGTAAACACACACACACATTCACTCAAACATATTAACGATTTACACTAGTAAGCAATGAGCCGGCTCGTACGCTTATCTGTGTAAATACATACACACAATTAGTATGATTATTAGTTTTTAATTTTACTAGTAGTAAACACAGAGACGTTATCAGTTTACTGAAAACATTTATTAAAAAATGATATGAGAATAACTAAATATTTATTCTTCAAATTAATTACTTAAAGTAATTCATCACATTTTATCGTCATTGTTTTCTCGGAGAAAAAAATGCTAGTAATGATAATAAACAAAATGAAGTTGGATTTCTTCTTATTAAGTACTAACTACTTACAAAAATTGGTAAGCTTGAATACTGTGTAACTATCTAATCAATCAATGTTTCTAATAATGACACGTTATGAAGGAAATTGTAGTAATATTTACAATATAACATAACACTATAATATAAAGAGAAGGAAAACCATGATTTTCATACCTCTATTTTTTCTAATACTTCTTTGCCAAATGAGCAAACTTTAGTTGATAAGTTAATTGGAACGTCTTCCGTACCCTCGAAACTAATAAAAAAGGAAGCAAATAAGAGGATATCATCTAACAAGAATTTGTACATTGACATTCAAAAGAAATACTCCTTCCTGAAGTTATCCAGCTGTAATTCTTCTGTGTTTTAAGTGATTTTAAAATACTGTAAGATGTCGTTTTGGTTACTTGGATAGTAGGATGTTAAAATTATATTCCTGAATAACAAAGCTGTAGATGAAACTAGTCAACGTGACTTTTCACTATATCTCTTTTATATGGTTTATATAAAAATAGAAACTTCTAAAGTTACTCTAACTAGTTAGTACAAAGTGACATTGTGTGTTTATTATGTTAACTGGATTATTTTAATCCCTTATTAATTGTAATGCATTCCTCTGTTTCTATTATTTTTCTTTATATTTTAAATTATGCATTGTTGCTGAATTCCACGCAAAATCTGTTACCATTATACAACAGTCTGTTTATTATCCATCTCCACTACGAGCCTACTGTAAGGATTATTTCGTCCTAGTCAAGGGCTTAACAATAATGTGAATCCATGAACCCACTAAAAGCATTCTAATATACATCCCGGTGCAAAGCAGTGAACACATGAATTATCTTTTCCATAACCTTTGAAAATTTTACACATCAATTAAGGTTTCCAGTCGAAGGTAAAGCTCTACCCTTCTAGTTAATCCATGAAACCCCACTTTATATATCAGGTAAATATGTTAAATATTTTCTTGTCTTACGTATATACATTTAAAAGAAGTACAACAGTATAAGTCTCAGTATGATCTGTTGCCACGAGTTTTAGTTAAGTATGAAATTTCGAAAGAAAATCTCATATTTATTAAATTATATAATAGTTCTTAGATGTACACTCTTAAGTACTAGTGATTCAAGCAAATTGTGTATGATCTATCAATATAAAATTACTTAAAATTGTTCAGTATAATCACCTCTGACTAATCATCTTGATTAATAATGGTGATGAAGTAATTAGGAATAAACAAGTAAATCCCTTTCAATAGACCAATCAGTTGTTTTTGAACATATTTGTATTGAAACTTGAAAAGTATAAATCTCTATTACCAATGGAACATAATTAGTGAGTCATTACATTATTGATTACGTTGTACAAGCTTAACTATCATGGATTGAAATATTGTAACGAATAGATTAAACTACTACAAAGTGTATTTGAGTTACATATTTTGCAGACTTTTAAACAGACATTATGTGATTTTTATGAATCAATCCATTGTCATCAATTAAATATTCCTTCCGCTCTGAAATAGGCAAACTTCCTGGTGTGTAAACTATGTTTTTAAACAGAGAACAATAGCATGGATCATTTTAAAACAAAGGTAACTGATAAAGAGACTACTAACAACAGTAATCTCAATAAATATGCTCATCAATAATATAAACTCACATAGCTGACACAGCGAATGTGGCATCTGGTTCAACCATCACATTAACATCAGCCTATATCCAGTAACGATCGGACGAACAAACATTGCATGAAATAGAGAGAAAAATCACATTAACATTATGAAATACACAACCATAATAATAACAATAAGGAAGAAAATCGTAAGATGGTGCACAATGTATCACATATTTACACAAACACATAGGTACAACAACAATAATTGTTCTGTTTGTCTAAGCTCACCATATAATACACTGCTTAATGAGCAAATTATAGATCCTTCATCATGACAACAAAAATGTATTACATTCATTAACTGTGAACTAACATGAAATATTTGTATTTTTTCAGATTTCAATAAGAAAATCTAAATCATTTTGGTGAAAACAACATAGAAAAATTACAGTAAATAAACATTAATAAAGTAAGTAATGTCTCCACGACAACAACAAATAAAGATTACTTTGATAAAAACAACACAAAAGACATTGACTAACTTCTTATACCTTGTACGACAAAACATACTTTGAAATACTATAGAAACAAGTAGAGCTTATAGGTGCAATTCGTAAACAGTTGAATCAATAAATTATCATCAATTCAACCAACTACTATTATAACATGGTTTAGTAAATAAAATTTAACAACACACTATGATGCATTGACAATACTAATTTGAACAAAAAAACAACTGTATTGAGAACATTGAACAACATAAAAATAAAGTATACTTATGTATTATATTGTTTTGTCAATAGCTATATTTAATATAGATTGGCAAATTCTATTATAAATCACCTTTATGAAAGACACATACAATAAACACGATGTTATTAAGTTTGTTTTATATTGTTTGTTGTTTATTTTTACTCTGCTGATGAAAATCATTACATGAGATGTTGAAATTCCAAATCAAATAGTAGACAACAGAAATTTCTGGTCTGAAAGATTATGCTTGAAGAAGAATGGTAAACAACATTTACAAATACCATTGAAAAAGTGTAAATAAAATTTAGTGAAGTATAAATATACACATATAAATATATTTGATTCCCTCCACATTTATTGACAGTGAAAAAAGGTTTGTAGAATGTAGTTACTTTTCTCTTTCATCAGACCTTTCTTCATTGACAAATCACCTAAATTTAAGTATAGTCGGATACAAAAGTATGACATTATTTAGTTTGGGTAGTTGCGACATTATTTTGTCTTATTCCTCTGAAACGTTCGTTTACTTCAAACTCCCATCTCAGTTTCATGAACTGAATTATGCGAGACAATTAACAAGATGAAAGTCAAATTATTCAAAATAATAGTGTCAGTGATAGTGAAAACTAATCAGGTAAATTAATCCTAAAAAACCAGTAAATACTAAGCATGAAAAGTATGAATTAAAAATAACACTGAAAATCTCAACTAACATAAAAGAAATCGGATCTATGCTGTTGTTTACAATGTTAATCAACGACCTGTTGAAGGTTATTGCAATTGGCTCTGCTTAACAGAATTTGTATGACAGTATGTGATACCGTGGGACTGTGTGAATCAAAGTCGATCAAATGGGGTGAGAACTTGTATCCCATTAATTATTTAAAAATGATCCATGATAATAAGTGCGTGGTTTTAATTGTATGTGCGTACTGGGCACTTCAATAACCTCAACGAATAAAAAATTAAAAAGTAAACGTTTTGTGTCGTTGAAATTAGTCAGAGACATTTGGGATTGTACTATACTGTTTGATTATCTTTCATTACATAATTTGAAGACAAACGCCGATTATTAGGCTTTGGTCATTGATATTTACCACTCAATTTTTCAACATCACTGTAATGATATATGATATGACTTGATCAGAAAATACGGATTTAATGGATAAACCATTAATGGCTCTCAAGTATAACACACACTATTGAAAGCTTTGTGTAAAAAAATAAACCAAGATGAAATTTCTATTGAATCACATACATTGTAAATACAAATACTATCTGTAGACGTTAATTCGCAATTTTTCAGCTTTACATACTATACTTTGACTTATGTCCGATTATAGAAAATATAAGCTAATTTTCATTTCATTCTTATTATTTTTATACTAATGATTGTGAACTTTGAAAACACTTCATAGATGATTTTCTTCATAAAGGTTTGGCTGTTCTTGCTTCCTATATTCAGGACTGAATTGATCAGTTTCTGTTGGCACATGAGCTCCACAGACAGTTTTCATGGCATATCCTGAATTTGTATGGAGATAACGGTTTCGATAATTTACAACAATATAAAGCGAGTGGACATAAATGAGTATATTTAAATGACCAGTTCCAAGTAGGATGAAAACTAAACCTAGATTTCCCATGATAGTCTCTACTAAAAATACATCATCATTAAGTCACTCCTCAGTCACATCCAGAACTACTGAACTAAAATCTAGAGTTTTCAAAACTCGTTTTAAATGGTCAAAAATAAGTGAACTAAATTACTATTTAACATGTATAGATATCTTAACTTCTTCAAACATGCAAGAAAGTCAAAAATCACTGGTATAATTTGCTAATAGCTTCCTGATTAAGGTATCTATTTCATTATATGTTTATTTTTGTGATATTGTTAAAGTAAATCTTGTTTCATTTCAGCTAAAATACACACTGGATCATTGTTTGTATCCGTTAAGGTGTGTTCATTTCATTTATGTACAAAGGAGTTTTATTAAACAAAAGCCTTAAGAAATCCAAAATGTAATTGTTTTTTTAATAATATTTATCTCTATTTTTGTTTACTAACCTCAAACAGTCAAAATAAAGCGGCTGTTAGCAAAATTATGAAAATCGAAGTAACTCGAAGTAACAAAAAACAAACTGGCTAACTGAAAATTCATGAATTTAACATGATTTTAAGGCGTTATACATTAGTAAACAAGCGAAAAAAAAGTGAAAACAATACAAAAAATTGTATTGAAAATTTCTTCTGAAAAGTAAATACATTTCAACATGAAACTACATGCGTGAAGTGTTTAGGTAAAATAAACCAGGTAATAGTCTATCCAAAATAGTTTGTGATAAAATATTTTTAATCTAACTAAAACAGATGAAAAGAAGAATGAAATTCACTCAGAATAGATTGAAGGATCACAGTTTAACATTAGAAATTACACATTCGCATAAATTTTGTTTATGAATTTCCTTAACTATAAGTAGGGTCTATACAACACAGTACTGAACACTGATTAACATGATTAATCGAAGATAACTAGTTTTTTACAGCAATGTTCCCTAGTTAGATTAAAGTAATATAAAATTTCTATGAACAGCATGCTTCTTTTATACTAAGATCATGAGCATTGATTCAAGTCACAGAAACCGATTGGAATTTCAGTTAACTTTATTTATTAATTTGAAAGAGCTAAACAGATGGAGACAGAAATTTGATCGGTTCGTACTTTGCGGTGAATCAGATTAAATAAAATCCTTCTAAGCTAATCACAACACTCTATTCTAAAGTTTCTATGAATAACATTGGTATTATTTTTAATTTTTAATCACCTACTGAGTATCGAAAGTAATCAGATTCAAAATTCTCAATTTAAAGAAATTATTAAGTTTTTAGAATTTTTTTAAAAAATAAATTAGGTCCTCTTCTATCATATTTTATTTATTTGTCTAGAACTAATCTCGTGAAATTATTTATACAAATAAACTAATATATAGAAAGCATTAAAATAATCAGTAGCACACAGCATGAAAAGATTTTTCTTTACTGGTCATCGCTTTTTTGTGTGTTAAAATTATTTTCATATTAATAATAATATGAAGTAGGATATTTGAAAGTTCAAATTATGTGTATAATTTTATGCATGATCAACCTTTCTATCCATCTATCAATTCATTACAAAGAAAGGAATGAATTCATCCATTATTTTAGTTCTCATGTTTTTTTGTGTACTTTATGTAATTAATCAATTAGTTAATTTGTTTATTTACTATTTTATAATTTTTACTGAATGATTGTTAAACATTAACATTTCATCACCACCATCATCATCATTTATAACTAACATATTTTTAGAAACCATTTTAAGCCAATCGTAGTAACTGTTGAATATTACTTTCTCACTGAACATGTTTCCATGTTGAAATGGGTTGATCTGAAGTCTACTAGAATAATATCAAAAACAGGGAAGCATTAAACGACAAAGACAGAAATCCTCTTCCACGATAGCTTGAGTGATAGAACTTTGAAACCGGTTCAACATGATTAGGTATTGTGAAAACGCCAAGCCGAAAGGAGGAAACAACTATTTAATTTCTATTAATTTTCAGTAGTTCTCCAGTTGACATCAGTTAGTGATAAAAATTGTCTTCGAAATAAACAAAACATTCCACCAAACCATCTGACTTAAAATTGTAGATAATCACTTTCAAATAAAACATAAACTAAGTAATTATTTAAACTGTCGTTTTAGATTTACATCGGTGTGTATAAAATATGACATATATATTTACGTCATATGTGAAAATTTATTACTAAACTCATCTAATTGTTACAGTGATATTCAATGCCTAGACTAGAAACAAACAAAGAAGTTATCAAGCTCATCAGAACATGAGCACAAGATACTTCCAGCTATTATAATTCTCTGAAAACTGACATAAATCAGTAACCACTTTAAATAATAAGAAATATCTCCATTATCTCCATTATGTAATTATGAACTACTTTTAGTTTAGTTAACAAAATACAATACTTATAACATTTGTTACCTTAAACTTAATCTTTGTTCAATCTTGAACCCTAAGTGCTAATTGACCTTGACAATAATATTGTATAATCCTATAATAAATTGTCAAAGTAATTGTCAATTGTTATCAGACCTCTTCATGTATATTACACAGAATTTGATACACGTCCAAATAGTTTTAGTGAGTATGCACAATCAATAAGTATAGCTTTTATTGAAGACGTTTAATACTAACCTATAACCTGTTTTCATAAATATCAATATACAAAGCCCTAAAAAATACAATTTCCCGAAATTGTATTTTTTACTGTGCTCATGATTAAAACTGAAACAATAGTTTACATGACAATGCTTAAACTCTAAAACATCTCGACTAACATGGAAATAGCCTACAAGCTTAGAACAGTAATTATTGATGACTGATGATTGTTATAGAATAAATCGAAATGAGGGAAAGCATAAGTTTCCATATGAAAAACACTATAGAAGTAGTATGAGTTCTCAGATGGCTTTTCTTAGAAAAAAATAATTCAGTAGTAATAGAATATATTGTTTATCAATAAATAATCCCTTCATTTTTATAAGCATTAAATCAGAAATCATTTGGTGTCTAACGGACATACATCGATTGGATCACATGCTTTAATAAGGTAATTGCTAAAATTCAACGATCGTAATAGTCAAATTGTCAGTACTTGTTTCAGGTATTCAGTTAAAATCTCCGATAGAAAGACAAAGCCATAAAACCTATCATTTAGTTTGATTTATGTGGTGTCGAATAATTTAGAATGAATTTCAAGATTCTATACACTTAGGTTTCTTTGATATAGACATTTAACTTAAAGTAACCATAAATTAATTCTTCGATATATCGACGCTATTAAAAATTCAATTAACTGAATGTCAACGAACACAAAACTATAATCCAGAGTTTTGTATAAAGTAACTCTGTACACAAACTATAAAATAAAGTTAGACAAATTTCCCCTATATTAGCATTCATTCAGTTTGAAGTGAAAAACATGAAGATTAAAAACAAACTCAACTTGCATGTGACTGGATAAAAATAAAAATGCAAAATTCCTTACTAATTGTTTGGCTGGTGATTTCATCAGTCAGTCAAACGCAACGTAGAACTATGTGCTTATGTACATTGATTCAAGTAACCATATCTCATTAGCATACGGAAATGAATTTATTAAGAGAAATCTCAGAGTAGTAGAGGTAGTAACATTATTAATTGTAATAGAAAATATTATCCATCGAACATTCACTTCCGAAAAATATAAATTGGTGAAATAACATTATGAGCAATTCAGCGGCTAAGAATCTGGGAGAAGATGAAAAGTAAATGCACCTGTGCCATTCCAAATAATTTTGAGCTATGTCATTCAAAGTTTCTAATCACTAATAGGATAATCACACAGGCCTCAACCAGCTGGTCTACACCTATTAAAATAGCTCAGTTGAATCGTCAATGAACTCACGAACTAGTATGTATCATTACCAAGGTTTGATTTGATAATTTCGAATAAATTGAGCATTGGGTAGATTGTTATAAGTAAATAATATATTTGTAATATCCCAATGAGTAGAAAATCTAATTTTCTACTCATTGGGATATTACAAATATATTATTTATTTATCACGGACTAGTGCCTTGTTTTGGTTATATCAATGCAAACTCAAGCAGACCATCACATAACCATAATTTTTATTTATAGTTCTCTACATTTCGTTTTAAGATAAAATAATAAGCCCCTGACCTTTTACAGAACAAATGTTTTACAGTCAAAACATACCCAGAATTTAACCAAAAAGAATGTATTCATAGGTCCATGTTCCATAAGTTCTTTTAGGCTGTCTTCAGGAAATTTATCCCAGATTTGACTTGCATCCACTTGCTCCAAATTTGGGTCAGTGTATAATTGCTCGTTTAAAATGGGTCCAATGTGAACAAAATTGTGTACAACCGTCGTCGATTTTGGGGTTGTAGTTAAATGAAAATCATGTGTATGAGTTCCCTGTCGTAAAATCAAGGACAAAGAACACATTTAATTAGCTATTCCTGAAAAGAACGTAATGATAGTCATGGGCTTTATCCTAAAATTCTGTATAAGAAAACTATTAAATTATCACATACAACACAGGATCTTTTGTAGATGTGGTGAATGGATAAAAATATGCTATAGAAATCAATCTTGTGAATATATATAACGTAGTAGAACTGAAGGGTTTTTGAGATAATAAAGCTGTAATAATCTGTAGTCAGTAAAATGTTATTGTTATGATGTACTCCTGATTCTATTACTCATTACATGACCACATCGAGAAACTAATAATATGTGACATTGTATTGACCAAGTTTCTTGTGTCAGTGAATTCATGAAAAGCAACTTCTCACAGTTTTTGTTTACAAAGGAGTACAATAATTATGTTTTGAAATTCCATGTTTGCAGTCTCAATATCCTAAAAATAATATGCTAAGTAGAAATTTGTTTAACTTTAAAGGCTTTTTTAAAAGAAACCATAAAACTTTGCAACCAAACATCTCAAAATGATGGAAGATGAAATTCTGTTCATACATTCAATGACATGCACCGTTGCTCATGAAAACAAAGAAGTTATTATATGAAAAATAATAAAACATGTAGTTCTGAATTTAATGCAATAATTTAGCCATCAAGAAAGAAATAGTGTTTGCTTAGCATAATAAGCACTTTTTCTTCCTTTAGTATTTTACGACAAGGTTTTTATATCTAAAAAAACTGTGTGCTTTAAGATTGCTGCATATTACAAAAATATTCATGTAAGTCCAAATTTACTAATGGTTGGTTATATTTAATACATTAATATTCGGGTTTGTCATCAATACCTGACACATAATAAGATGTATATTCATTTTTATCATTATTCATATAGAAGTGTCATTAACAAAACACATTATAAGCTGTACATTAACCCCCCAACTGTTCTCCTAATAAAATTTACTTAATCATTTTCACAGTTAATTTAAGGTGTAATTTGTGAACTAGAACAAACAACTTGCTAGTTGATTAGATAACCAGATGAATATATGGCTTTTCAATATATATTGGTTTGAATACAATAATCACAAATTATTTACAGATGATAAATAAGTGTATTAGATTATGCCTTATACATAAAGAAATTGACAAATATTGAATCCCATTTTCACTCATACAGGCCTACACTTATGAGTTTTCACAATACTTGGATTGTCAGGATGCCAGACGTGTCCTCACTGTGAATCACCATCACCTATTTATGCGTATGAATTTTATGAAAGGTCGAAGTTAATTCACCTAACATTTACCAGAAAAGGCTTGTTCTGAAAAAAGAAAATAACACAGCGCTAATCATATATATATATATATATATATATATATATATATATATATATATATATATATATATATATATATATATATATATATAACATCAGATAATGGACTTCCACTACTTTTTATTAAAATATAAAATTTCTTTCAAGGTATTGAATTGTGAAAGAAAATTCCTTTGAACTGGTGTAAATGAATCTGATAAATTTAATTGTATTATTAACAAGAGAGCATGGTGTGTACATTTTATTCTGTGTTTTGCCAATTAAGGATTAAAAATCAGAATATATTCGCTTAATAATTCGTATTACAACTAATCCACACATATAGTTAACCACCTGGCAGCTTATTCAGTTTTGATTGAGACCATTTATCAATCAATGTTAAACCACTACTGAAAATTTAGAAGCACTGAACGGCCGTTTCGTCTAAATCCACGGTCCCACACGCAGGACTTGATGGTCTAACATTGATCGTTTCATGATCCCAATAAATGTTCAACAATCTCCACAACTTCATACTGATAATTATTATTTGTTCACTGGTGACTAGTTCCAAGAAGTAATTCTCGGAGTTCTACTGAGAAGTCGTAATCAGTGGAGTTCAACTGTGTTGGGTGTGGGACAGTCGCTCACTGAAGATAATAGATGATCGAGCAATATCGTGGATTGATTGAAGTTAAAGATTAACAGTGTTGGATACCGCCCCACTGTTATAGAGGTTAAGCGTTCAAATGAAGATGAAGGTCCATAGTTCAAGTCCCGCGTGCGGGATTGTGAAAAGTCTCTACCAAGGAGCCCCACACTGGGACGAAATGCCCATCCAGTGCTTCCAGGTCTTCGACGATGGTTTAGAATTTATTCAAAGTTATTGAATGTATAAGATAACAGATTCACTCACATCGTTTCGATGAAAATTTTCTCCACATTTCAATGTTATATATATATATATATATATATATATATATACGCGCACAGTTTGTTATAAGTATATTCATAAGCTCATATGGCGTCGTTTATTTTCAAAAGCAACTAAATATAACAGTCACTTAAGTTTGAAAAATAGGAAGAAATAAGCAATCAGGAATTTTTTTTTGTTTTTTATTTATATATACAAAGTCAATGAATGTAGCATACCATTCTCTGAAAAAAAAAGAGAAATGTTACGTCATAATTTGGTCTATATTTGTGATTACCCGTGAACTAATATCATGTGCTCACGCCGACATGTGCACTCAGGTCAAAGATAATCGTATTTAAAAAAAAACGTATTAAAAACACATCTACTAATCAATAAATAAGTAAATATACAGACAATTAAATTTAATGATTCCCCGATTAGTTTTGATTTCACTAATAAACTCAGACAATTTAGTGTTTTGATTTGCCGTTTCATCAGAATAGCATGTCTTTTACCCTTAAAATGAATAATTGTTATGATAATGAAAATAGAAAAGGTAGAAAACTTAATCAAAAGGTTGTGGTTGTTTCAAAGGACCTAAGGTAAAACTGAACTTATTTTTCCATTGTCATTAATAGAGGCTACTAGAAATAGAATTTTAACTATATTACTAAAACATTTTATTGAAATCTGCCTTAAAACTATTTAAAACGGCATATCTACAGCTATACTTTAGTATAGACATGGTGGTCACTAAATAAAGTGTTAAAGTATTTAGAATATCTCCAAACTCTCATAAAAGTCAACCGCTTTTAACAAATAAACTATGACAGACAAAGACAAAGAAGTGAAAAGTATTTTACTAGCTGATAATTACTGAATAAGTGTATTAGACAAACGGTTATTAAGTTTGAGTTGAACATGATTATCATTATTATGTAAACTCTCAGAACTCTAACTTCACCAACGTTTAGAGATTCATCATGATATGGGTTAAAATGATTATATTAGCTTGACATTTCTGTGATCTGTGGGTAAGAAACAATTACTAGTAGATGATAGTGCAAAACAGTAGTGTTACACAGTACGCTGGATGAAGCTAAGAAACAGTATCCATAACCTATCTAAAAATATTTCCAAAACCCATCTATTCTTGAGAGAATCAAGAAGAAGCAGTAACTATTACCTGAACAATAACGCCGACGCAGTTTATATAATTATTTACTTCTCAAGGGGAAACAAATAACTTATGCGAGTCGCTGATAGAAATTTATTTGAGAATACCGCTAATAGAGCTAGATTTAAATAGACGTAATATATAAATACTACCAACACTATCCTCCTAGTTGATAAAACATGTCTTTTGTTGTTTAATCACAGATAACATCCGGTTGTTAGCTTCATCAAGTGATTTAATACTTCTTACTAACAATATAAAAAAGATGTTTTCTATACTGAGACAATGATTATTGGGTGATATAATTGTATTGTATTTTCTTTTATCATTCATACCCGGATTGCTGAAATTTGCATAAATTTGGTAGTGCCAAGTTGATTTAATTTCAAGAGTTATTTTACGATAGTAAAATGTAATCAAATCTAAGTTAATTTTATCCTTCAACACAATTAACATCGTGATGATCATTACTTTTACTATTAATAATGGGAACAATTTTATATTCAGGCCAGTAGAAGTTGTTGTAGTAAATCGATCAGGTAGTTTGCTGGATAGATTCACGGATTGGTAACTGGGATAGTCATTCATATACACATAAACTGTGTGTTATTTTGTGACTAGGCTTATATGGATGGCGTATATACATATATATATATATATATATATATATATATATATGTCTAAACAAATTTTAGGTTCTAAACTAGCCTAATGTTCAATAGGTATAAAAGTCATACCAGGAAAGAGAAAACGTAAAATTTAACTATCCGTGGATAGGCACACATACAAACGGAGTAAAAACGCCGAGATACAGTTACATGAATTATACTGGCACACAGCTGTAATTTCTTTTTTCAGATAAATCTAAACGTAATTGTATATTGTTTCCCTAGTTTTTTTATTATTTCACTTAGTCCATTTTGTAAGAAACATTTATATAGAGAGAAATATATATGTAAATGAACACGTGAACACACTGAATGCAAGCACATTTCGTAGGTTGAATCGTAGGTGGGAAAATAGTACTTCTTTTTGTCAGCCAGATGAGCCAACCAAAACGAAAATACAAAAAATAGGAACATTGAAGAACCTCATTAAATTGGCATAAACTAAATTTTACGTCAGTAAATATGGATCATGTTTGATATATGACAGGTATCTGAAACTGAATTTTATTGTGTTTGAATATGTTGGTCGCTCTAAATTATTAATGAATAGTAAGTTTGTGTTAATGAGCCATACCAATAAATTCAGTCAATATACAATGGGTTAAGTAACACGTTTTGATGAAGTATCGGATTCTAATCAAGCAGTTCATAGATAAGTTCAAATTAAATTGGCATTAAATAACGAAACGTTAGGAAAAATGACCAAATTAGTCGTCTATAGGTCAAGCATTCGGGCGTGAAGCCGAAGGTCCGGGTTCCGGACCCTGGTTTTGAGGTCGTGAATGCACACTGCTGAGGAGTCCCATCCAGTGCTTTCACGTTTTCAGTGGTTATCCGCCATTTCGATGTTATTACCAAGTTGCAAAATATATTCGTAACATTATAATTTAGATACCTAACATAAGAAACCAATTTATACTTAAGTACTGAATATTGTTTGCCAGTTAATTTTCAATGAATTTTATGGTACATGACAGTATTTGTGTAAGACGACACTGCTTAGCTCTTATTAAAAACAAGGACAATGGTATCTCTATCTAGATAGTCTTATTTAATCCATATGACTGATTTATTTTTCTCCAGAACTCATAAACATTAAATATCTCAGTAATCATTCCAGCATTAAGAGTCCTGCAACTAAACGATCATTATCTACCATTTAAAGATAGTATTTGAATATATATCCAATACCATGATGAAGAAACATTATGACGTTTTTGAAATGTATAATGTTGTACAGAACGTCCAGAGGTGATCCCATTTTCTTGAATTAAATGAGATTAATAAGACTAATCAGCAAAGTGAGGTTCACAGGTTCAAAATTATGTCACTTGCAAAACCCTGAAATGTGGTAAATTGCGTCAAGAACAGGACTATTCTCTATACTATCAAAGAGTCTCATAAAAGTTTACAAATTAAATTCAGTCTGACCGATTTCAAAGGACTGATGAAATTGTGTTTCTTTATAATAAGATAATCTAAGCACTATATTTACTATAAAGAAAGTGGAAGTAGGTTTAAACTACGATAATAAAACAATAAATAACTGCGAATTATATTAACTTACATTGGACTGGGATTTCGACGTTGAACTTATCATGTAGGCACTTAATTCAACCAATCTCATTTTAGGTGCTGTAACTGATCGTCCCATCCATTTGGGTATGTTGATATTTTTTAAATCTTCTGGTGTTGTATTAGTAACCATAGTAGAAACATTTACATTTGACAGTGATATATTTTTTTCTGCACTCTAGAAATTTTTTATGAGATACAAAATAGATAGTAAATGAACTTACCTCTACAATCATTTTTCTAGAATATTTCGGGGAATCTGAAATAGAATCATCGCTATCCCTTGAAGGATTCATTGAAGAATAAGAAATTTCTCGTAAGAAATTCATTGTTCCATCATCACTTAGTTGTTTATTAGTTGCTAATGCATTTGCAATTAAATCACTATAATTGTTATTGTTATTACGGTGAGCATGATTAACATTTAATTGTTCTATTAAAACTGGATTTTGTTTAGGTACAACTGTCGAAGGAAATGTATTTATATTTGATTTAGCTGACAGTACAGATGCATGATGAGATGATGATGATGGTGATGATGACAGTAAAGAATTTGTTGGCCATAAAACAGATGTTATTGATGTACATTGTTGTTCATAGGTTGCAACTGAAGCAACATGTGCAGCTGCCATTGCTACGGATGCTGATGCTGATGGTGTGGTTGATGTCATTGAAGAGCCTAGTGAATTAGGCACTGAAAGAGTTGATGTAAAACTCGCTACTGAGGATAATGAAGAGATTGACGAGCAATTTGAGGAGGATATGGAAGAATCAATATTATTGTTGATAGTGGTAGTACTATTATGTATTTTTTGAGGAATCGCGTTATTATTATCATTATTATTGTTATAGTGATTAGATGGACAGTATAATAACTGACCAACTGATGTTTTGACAAGAACTAGTCCGTCAGGTTGTAAATTTGGTAATATAACAGAGGAATTATTTATTGGTAATGTGGACTGTAAACGATTATCATTATTTACTAAAGATGAAGTTGATGGAGAAGACGACTGATTTCGATGATTATTTGAAGTGATTGTCATAAGGTTATCTAACGCCAAGGGAAAATTTAGTTGTTTTGAATCGATTTCGTGTTGCTGTTTACTATCGACAGGTCCAAGAAGTTTGTTATGTAAATCTAATGTATCCGAATTTCGACTGAATAAATTTGACTGTTGTTGAGATCTCAAGGCTAAAAATGCCTCATATGGATAAGATAACTGTGAACTATCATTATTCACCATATTTCCTTGTTGTCTTATATCAAATGAATACGGTGGTAAAGATGAATTTATAGGAAGAAGATGGGCTAGTGTAGCTTGACTAGAGGGATTTAAATTGATATGATTATATTGGGTCGTTTTATCATCTTGTATTACTGTAGAATATGAACAGTTTTCTTAAAAGGAAAAAGCGAAAATCTTTCATTCAACTTCGAAAAAATCAAAATATATCAAAATTTACTGTAATAGAAGCAAATTTGTTTACAGACTGATATCAGCTGAAGAATAATTTAAAAAAATAATATTGTGGTGATGGATTGAGTTATTTTTAATTATATAATGACAACTTGGTGTCAAAAATGAACTCAAGTTGAAAATATCGATATCGAATAATTGAAAGACCTATTACTCAGTGGAAAACAGAGTGTATTATTGGTGTCTTTATACTGTCATATCTATCAAGAGTTTAGACTATCGATTAAACTTTAAACTGAAATTCGAAATTTCCCTTGTTTTTCTTTAGATAAACATCTAAACCATTTCGATTTTTGAAAATTCAAATGAATGACGACATTATTAATAGTAAGTAAACTATTATTGTGGATGCGCACTACTGAGGAGTCTCATACTAGAACGAAACGGCAGTCTAGTGCTACCAGGTTTTCCGTGGTGATCTAGACTTGATCGACTGACTCATGAATTCAACTACTAAACTATCAAGTATTTATTTATTTATTTCAAAGACTACATCAAGTAATATCAGTAATTAACAGAAAAATTGGTCAAATGTATTTTATTGCCGTTAGAAACTATATTGGTCAAAGTCATATAAATTATATATATATATACAGTTTTCTTTTTCCAATGTGTTAATAACTAAGAATGTTATTCCGTATTGGGATGTTCTTTTACGGTTATCACATTTATACTGACTTAGTGACAAGTTATTTACTGAAAACACTATACTGAAGTCCTACACCATTCAGCCTTACAGATTACCAGCCTTTTACAAGTTACGGAATTTCCAAATGGCATTAAAAGTGTACTTATCAGATTCATTTCTACATAACGTTGAATAGTATGAAGTACCTAATAGACCTGTTTTAGCAATAAAAAATTTCAATACAATATACGTATACACTTTTCCATTCATAAATAAATAGTTAACAGCATATATTACAACTAATTTATACAATCTATGTAATGTTGTCGTATCCCGTCTCTGTATAACCTCGATAAAATAAAAGTATCATGTAAACGAGCAAAAATTAGCCAATTTATACCCTTGTATGATATAACTTACCTTGAGATTTACCTTTAACTAAATTTTTATTACTAATTGTAAAATTGTTTTGAACATTATTATTGATAGCTGTTGAAGAGGGGTATTTATGTAGATTTTCAAGATATAAACCATTACTTTTATTCTTTAATTCTCTATTATTAGAATGTATAAGATCATTAATATGAGGACTTCTATCAGTGACAATATCTTCAACAATTAAACTATGCATATCACTTCGATTATTTGTCATATTCAAAGGATGTGAATTTGACAATTTAATTTCATTGATCTTCTCATCGTCTGTTGATGGATGAATTCCAGATGATGTCACTGGTAATCCACCAGATGTTGAGATAGACGGTAAGGTTTTGGAACCAAGCACTCCTGCAGATACAATTTGTGCGGAACTGAGCATTGATAGATGCATAATAGCTCGTTGTTTCGTATCAGGATCCTTAATCTGAGCTTGAAGTTCTTTAGATTTTCGACGAGCCAATACTTGAATGTGACTTGAAACTTGTTTTCTGCTTCGAATCTTTCCAGTGTGTTGATATATATATCTAGCAATTAATTCATTTCGTCCTGTCACATTAAGAAGAAAATACACAAATGTATATTTTAAAAAGACTAAAATGGATATAGTTATGAACATGATTTATCCACTTAGCATTAACAAATTCGAAAATACGAACTTCACAGAGTATATCTCAAAGCTAATAAACATTATGTTGACTGAAAATTAAAAATAACTCGGCTGAGATAAGTATGCATATGATTGTTTGACAAACTCAATATCACAAGGATAATGAGAAATATTAACTAGATGAAGAGAATTTGCTTAGACGACAGACTTTAGCGTTTAGTGAAAACTGTTTTCAAATTAAAATGAATAATTTCACAGGCTACCCACATAATAATAATAATAACCCTACAACTACTGCTAATAATAATTGCAATGTTAAACGTATTACTAAATAACATTTAACTGGTATTTCCGACAATTCAGTGTTAAATGGTAACAGAACAGTTACCATTGACAGCATTGGGTAATGATTGTACTATATTATGAACCGATAGAAACTGAAAATATAGACAACTAATTTCCTAATGAATTGTCTAATAGGTTTGCGCCCACTCAGAAAATTGGGGGTCATATATTCTATTTTGTTCAGATTTCAATTGTCAACAACCGAATGGTCTCGAATTCAAGTGAAACACCCGTCAAGTGACCCATAATTTTCAGTTGTTTTCCAGTTAGTATCAGTTAGTAAAGAAACACGATTTTCATGGGACCTATTTTAGGCATTTTTTCTTGAATCCAACTGCTTTTTCATATTCTGCTTTGCTTCTTTGGATGGTAAATTTTTACGGGAATGATTTCGTACACCTTTAATAATTTTCGTCTTCACTTATAAAACTAAATGCAAATGAGTATAATATAGCAAAACTTTAGATGTTTCGCTTCAATATACAGATGAATGTTCAAAGCCTTCAAGAATATTGTGTTTTTTTTCCTAGTTTTGTAATGTTCGACAAAGCAGATGTATACTCTCTTAAACTATAAAACGATGAACTACAACAATTTAACGTAAGCTATTATCTGGTATTCCAATAATTACAGTTTACCCATCCAAATCTCTTCAAATTTTCAGAATTTAGAAGATACTATTTGTTGTATATTTAGTTTCATTTGATCATTGTCAATCATTTTTCTAAAATGAGAATTTATTTAGACAATTAAATGAAATAAGCTCTAGTTCACTTCTAATCATACTATACATTTTGAATAAAAACAGCGGATAGTATGAATCAAGAGGGATGAATGCAATTAAGTATTGAATAATTCCTTTTATATATTATTATATGTACGGTTAATAATTTTTTTATTTGTATATTCTGTGCGTAATCAGTTATGCTTCAGGTGAATCAATTAGGATTATTTTTTAGGCACATCCCCCACATTAAAGTAGTTAGGATTGACTCTTGAAAATGTCAGAAAATTTATTATAAATGTCCTGAATAGTACACAAGGAACATTATTAATCTTTCTCCCGAGGCTGATGTGACATACTCTTTGTGGCCATGTACCCGTTTGGAAAATTGTTTTCCTTAAATTATTGACAAAATAATCATCCAAGTGTACATAACTCTAGGATCATTTATCAATGGTTTTATAGTTTTAATTATCACTTAATATTACCTGATGTAAAGATTTGTCAATCAATTTATATAATATCAGTTTACAAACCTCCAGTTATTAAGTTCGATTTACTTTAGTTTCAACATTCAGGAAGTATGTTTAAGTATTCCCAGGTCTAACACCTAACTCCGATTGAAGACACAGAAGAAAGAACAATACTCTAAAATTTCGAATAACTTTATTCATAAGAACGATAAAATATGGATGGTAGTTACAACAAAGTTATTGGTTAGGCATAAATTGAATGACTTATATTTCTCTTACGATCTATTATTATTAACATCAAATCAAATGGTCCTCTAGCAGTTTTATACCATAAGCTATTTAACTTGAAAACAGAATGGATATTTTTTAAATAAATGGTTAAATAATTAAGGTATCTTGTAAAAAAAACTATAAACCACTCTATTCCAAGTTAATGAGTTCCATTAGAAGATAAAACCTAATTTATTCTTAAAGTATTTCAATGTAAATTTGCCTTCAATTACAAATACTTCAAGTATTTTTTGACTAAATACATGAGCTATCCAACTTTCATATTTGGTATAGAAATACAAAATTACAAGTACCTATTTAATGGATTAGTATAAAACACATTGAAATAATTAATTATTTTCAGTTTAAGGTACACCCATTTTTGCTTTTTTTTCTGTACAGGTTAATTTGGAAATAGAACAAACAAAATTATGTGACAACACCTTTTATTAGATAAATTCCATCACTTACTTAATAAGACAGATAAAAGGTAGATATAAGTAGACATACATTAAGTTGCCGAATTAGTTTTAGCTTACTATGAATGAATGTGTGAATACAATCCATGTCTACTGGAATTTTTCTTTTTAAATCGTTAAAATATATGTATATTGAAAGTGTGAAGTTTGATAAAGTTGATGCAATATGAACTTCAGTAAAAGTGAAATAGTGTTTGAATTTAGTAAGATTTATCCGGTAAGCACATGAATAGACTTCACACTTTAGATGAGTGACATAGACTACTATATAAAATTAAATAATTGTCATTTGTGTTGTGAAATCAGATACATGTATTGTGAATATATATTGATTATCTAACCCTATTACGTGTAATCTTAGTAAAGAATAAGAAAGTTTTGAAGTAACTAAATTAAAACAGAATAATTTCATTTAATTATTAAATTTTCAAATAATACGCGACTGAAATATAATGCAAATGAAAGCTTCGAATATTAGCTCATAATGTTCAAGACGATTGTCCAAATCAGTCACTTTAAAAACTAATATGCAGTCATTAAATTCAATTGATATTCTTTGTTTGATTCTCTTATTTCTTTGATACAGTGAATCTTCCTGCTCAACTTAAGTAAATCATCTGAAAAGTCAACAGATAATCAAAAAGTCTCTACTAAGAAATAAATAACTGATACTTATTCTTTTTATAGTTACATTTACACCGAAGTTAAGTGTCCATTTAGGGTTTATAATGAGATGATAAGAAATCATCAATACACGCAAATTACATGGTGATTTATACTTTTAACCTGTTACCTAGATGTCTTTAATAGCTACCACGCACAATAAAAATTTACATCCTTTCAATCGGGTACTAGTAGTAGGAAAACGAAATTGATCATTTCTCACGCAACACAAATAAGAAGAATTTACAGCGTTATTGTCATGGATAGAAAATTAAATATTACAACAAAAATATCGATCGAAGGTAAGTGACATAGCTAGATTTGTTGACAAAAATTTAAAACTCGAATCTTTAATGTCAGTACCAAAGAGAATGTTTCATATGAGCATTGAATCTGAAGGTGATAAAGTTGAAGATATTTTGAAGATCAGGATTTCCATCTCTCTCAAAATAACATTCTTGGAATCAACTCTAACGATAGTGCTCTCCAGTCTTTCTATATTCACTAGTAGCCTTAAGCATAAGTTCTTGCTTATAACCACTTTTACGTACATTTATCAACCAACCAGTTTCTGTGTATCTAAGTAAATAGGTAGTTCGATGCGCATTTTATACAAAATAGTTTATGAACATTATGCTGCATGACTGGAAAGGGTCAGCGATGGAAGCCCAATATAAACCACCTAGTAATCAAGGTTCATTCCATCAAAAAATTAGTCGTCGTTTAAATTTATCTACAAGGTAAACGAACGCCTACTAATGATTGTTAGTTGCCATCCCCTTGGTACCATCAAAGCTTTGATCATACATTTGAAGAAACTAGGATTGTCCATACAAAAGAAACTTATTGAATTTGTACTCATGCCATGTTCTTATCGCCTAACCATCATTCTATCTCTTCCCGTCATTACATAGATCTTTTATCCCTGACTGACTTATTCCTATTTTTTATATCATCACATATCATTTTAATTTCGAAATTTCATTTTATCGAGTGACCAAGTCCATTCTAACAATTATAAATCTTCATCCAACTTCTTTAGGATTCACGATAAGTATTCAAGCTCTTAGCGATTATATTTTCAGTTTCTTCGCTATTACTATGTTTGGTAAATTTTTATTATCACTAAACTAATTATCTATTATCACTATGCAAAAGTATTTATATGCGATTGCACAGCTTTGAAAATGAATTCATCTGAAATGGAAGTTTTTGGTAAACAACTCGTTCTACAAATGCCACAAGTTCACCCGTGTAATACTAAATCACGATAAACCCTCTTATTATAACAGAACTCATGGAATGGTGAAATGAAAAATACAAAAATTCTAAATGTTTCCCTTCTAGTATTGACTTCAGATTATCATGAAGATAACTTTTGAAGCATTTCGAAATAACAATGGAAATTCTCGGTACTGAAACATCAAATTAAACTACATAGTCTGTAAGTTTTAGAAAATAAATACAGTAACTTACCATACATTTTTCCCTCTTCCGATAGTATAATTTTCCTACGTCCACATGGTGGATATATTGCTAGAGCTTCCTGAAAACATTGTTCTATATCCATCGACCAAACACCTTCAACATCTGTGGAACTCGAATTCTCATGTGCATCCATATCAGAACCGGAATTACTGACACAGTCATCGTCAAAATGAAAATCTGTAGAATTTGTTGATAATCGCTTCGGCGTTGTAGGCGCTGGACGTTTACCTGATCTTATTTGATGATTAGAACTGGTATTTAACGAATTACAATAGAATGATCCATTGGAAATGGTAGTTGTGACAGAGGGAAGAGTAAGGACAGGATTAAGCGGTGGAGGGCTTCTTTTTAATTGTGTATTAAGATGATGATGAGAATGAAGATGTTGTTGTAGCGCATTATTTGATTCAGTTATCAAATGTTCATGTGTTATCTCAGAATTCTCCAAATGTAACGAAAGTGGCGATTTAGCAGAAGCATTATCAGATAATGATTTGTTTATATACATTTTAACAGATCCTAAATCTGAATCCATATTATGTTTAGATACAGTTTTACTCAAATTAATTAAAGAATTTCCCCCGCTTGAATGATTACCGTTGTTGTTGTTGCTATTGTTATGATGATGATGATTGTTATTAGAGATTGTCATTTGGACTGAATCACCATCACTACTAGAACCATTCCCATCTCCAGAGGCTGCAGCCATCGCAGTTGCAGATGTGAGATTCGGGATTAAAAAACCTGGTTTACCTTTACAAATTTCCATGCTCCAAATAATATTTATATGTGTATGTGATAAATGTTTACAAGTATGTGTGCATATATGTACAAATATTTCCACCAGCTCTTTCTGTGACAAATATCTCCTCAATATATTTGTTTATATTTACGTATACTTAGTTTTTTTCCATCCAATAAATAAAATCGAAATCTGTTTTTTCTATTTATTCCTCCACTCAATAGAAAAATGGTATTATCATGTTTTGTGCTATTGTGAAATATGCTGAAGAGATGAAGCAATAATATGTGAATTAATAAGCGAACACAGGAATGAGAGAGAAGAAATTATGCTCTGTAAAATTAATCAATTTCTAAAGATAAATAATATTTACATGTCTGACCTATAATGAACATATTCACAATGTCATCCTAGTTACTGTCAGTGTCACTGGATATATTGATAGGGTGAGGTAAATATACTATTTTAAGCTAAAGCAGAAGTAACGTTTTGAACTTAACTTGCTCAAAATAGAACCACTATAGACTTTAAAGACAACATTTTCTAAATTCATGACTAACCAAGCCTCAGATATTTAAAGTATATGAAGTCATTAGTTTTAGGACCGAAGTGCGTAGTGTTTTACAGATCCATTATGTCCCTCTATGTGCGTGTTGTGATGTTTGATGTGACAGGGGTGAAGGAAGTGAATAGGGAGATGAGTGGACAAAACGAAAATAGACAGATTATTCGGGTAGGAGAGTAAATGCTTCGGAATGTGCATAAATGTGTTTCGGGGGTGAGTAACTGGTAACATTAATTGTCAAAGTAATTTATTTTAAATCATAAAATCATTTACTGTTATTCCTTGTTATCTTGTCAATTTTGAGTTCAGACTTTTATACAGTTAAAAAAAATCAAAATATAAATTTCTTTTATCTTCTAATTTCATTCATACAGAACCCAGTTACAAAAGTTTTATTTGAAGAACACGATATACAAATATATCCTGCCCTGTGATTGAGATAACAATTTCATTTGACCGAGTAACATAAAAATAGGCTTGTTTTTGAATTTTCACGGGTAAGATTGTAGACATGCTTTCTCTTTTCAATATTACGCATATATATAATCAATTTCAGATTTAAGAAACAACACAGTCACCATAGCAATATTTATTCAGCTTACAAGTTAGGATATTCCGTAGGCTACTCTATTGAAAAAAAACTGTAAATTAGGAAAAATCGTATAAAATGATTCATTTCTTAAGAGAGCAAGTCATTAGCATAGTTGCAAAATAAGGGATGGATAGTGCAGCTTTTCAGTAACAAAGTATTCAGACGATGAATAAGACATTGGTTATATGAAATCTCAAACAATTTTCATTTCATATATTCCATTTTTTCAATAATTCTGTCTGTACAACGAGACAACTAGTGTAGTCGTAAATAAATCTTAAAAATGAATAGTTCTGTAAGTCTTAGATATCAATGCTAACCCCATTGGTTTGACTAAAATCACACTAGCCGAAGGTGCTCCATCACTATTCCGCTCCAGATCACGAGTGGGTATGCCGTGCTAAGCATGCCTCAGAACTACTAGCCAGAATAGATCAAACGTTTCTCAACACACCGACAATCTTCCAAATCTATCTTCGAACTCATTCATTCCTGACTTCTGATTTGGCTGGGTTGGTATCCTTTGAGTATGAAGGTGTTACAGACGAGAGCGTTATTGAACCCTGAATATCTATGCCATATTTACAAGCAACGGTAACCGAAATGACTACAATAGTATAAGCTAAACTCAGAAATTAATATAAAAGACTATCGTTGATGGTGCAATTTATTATATATGACTAGAATTTAATGGTTATGTTTGTGAACGGCAATACAAGATATTATCAGTTTGTTTAATCACTACAATATTTGAAACACTCAACATTAAGTGGAGTGTTTATTCTCATGTAACACCGATCACAGAAAATATCAATGCAATCACAGAAGTTACCAAAATCATATTGTCTGCTTCCTAGTCCTGATCTCGCTCCAGCGATCGATTGCTTCTAACCACTTAGTGTCATGATAAATAACTGGGTGGTGCCTTGTTTTTCGCCAGATTAAAAGCCAACTAACTAATAGATAAAGATGTTGTCAAACATTGTCGTGTTCCAGCGATAAATTTTTGGAATAAACATTCATAAAAAAAATATTAATAATAGTCAGTTCTTAAAAAGCTCAATATAATGTATGAAGAAATTAAAGCTCATAAAATGAGTAGTATTTGTATTCTTATAGTGTTTTCGTCACGTTTGGTAACTAGCCACTATCATGTAGCTAAAAAAACAAAATGCTTGATATGGTAAATCCTTTACAATTTTAATCACATAATTATCTATCATCGACAAACATATCTCCGGACGACAGTTTATTTAGTTTATGTTTCCAAACTGTTCAGCAAGACAATTTATACCAAAAACAACAGTTTAAAAAGACAGTTATATTCTAATCAAACTCAAATTAAAACCTGAATAAAAAAGTGAATTTAAGCAAAATAACAGAAATGTTTTGTGTTTCAGTAAAAACAAGTAAATAACTTTAAAATTACAAATATTTGAAATAAAAAAATTGTTACTCATCCGCGTGTGTATAAATTATAATAATAATAATAATAATTATTATTATTATTATTATTAGATTAAAACAAACTAAACATTCATTGACACATATCATCGTAAAGATAAACAAACCATTTGACATTTATCATACTCCTGACATAATATAAGTTTAGAATCTATCTAACATGTACTAGGGAAAGAAATTATTCAATGCAATAGATAACATTTACCTATTTGTATGTAGTTGTATATTATAACTTGACATTTGCCATTTTAATGTACTCATTATTTATAAAACACATTGATTTCGTAATATTTCATTTACATCAAACATGAGTGTCAATCGAATAAATATGCAGAAATGATTAACTATATCAATCTGTTTCTCTTGCGATTTAAATAAATTTAAATCAACCACTTATCATTAGTGAGATACACATCAAAAGAGGTAGTTGATCACAAAACTCAAGAATAGATTTTAATTTGTCTTCACTTTTCTGCTGGAAAATATCTGTCAAGTGGTTCTGTTTATTGTTTAAGGGATATGTAACATAATTTTTTTAGGTTAAACATTTAAAAGGATTATGTGAAGAATTGTGTTGTGAAACCTAAAGAACCACGTAACGTATATACCACAGTATTCAATAGTGATTTAAAAGTTAAATATACTAAGTGTGGTAAACACATACACCTTGATTCATAAATTCGTTCCAGAATATCTTGCTCACTCTGAAGTCTAAACATTCAAAGTTCTAGCATAAGTGGGGCTATATATGCATCTTCCTAAGTAATTTTATTTGGGAAAAAATCCATGCCATAGTCCATTCTGGTTTTCAACATTGTCTGCTCCATCTTAAAATGATCGAAATCTTTCGACAATTGAAATAATTTTTAATATAATAGAACTAGTTTATTAGCAATCTTAATAGTACTTTTTGTAAGATCAATAAAATTCATTTCATTGTGTTGACAACATATACAACCGCCCAATTATGAGTAGAGGGTAACGAAGAAATATGTCTATTGACTATTCATTATTAAATTAAGGATCAAAATCTAAACAAAATGAATAATTTCCTCCAAATAGCTGTTTTCCAAACAAAGACTGTGGTTATAGCAGTCTTTTTAATATTTAATATCAGCATCGTATCCTGTAAATCTAATAATGTTCTATTCATTTATTTGGTGAGTGATAATTATTATAGTGTGATTTTCATCAGAGTTAATTTCATTTCAGAGCAGGAAAAATGTCAGATCAAAAACACAAACATGATAAACGCTAGGACTTGAAATATTGAATAACAATTATGCTATAGTTTTTAGTACTCAATCAGTAAATGAACAGGAAAATGAACTAAAGTTTTGTATATGATATATACACTTAATGAACAAAGTTGTTGATAATCTCAGTAAAAATAAATCAAACAAAAGTTCCTATCACAATCTTTATTAAATATGACTAATTAGTATAAACGTGAGTAGATCCTTCAAAATACTCTGAACCCCCTTAAAGTTTTGTATTTCGATCAATATCAACGAATGAACATCAATAAAAGACAAATATCTTTTTTAAAATTATCTCTGTTTAGTCTCATCAGCAACGTGAACTCGAAAGTATCTTCTAATAAATTATATTTAGATGCTGAGAGACTCATAAATGGGTTAATAATTGTCTTGGATGACTAATGACTTGAGAAATCAACTAACTGATTGGATAGTAAGATACATCCACTACTTCTATCTTCTTTTCACTACTTTCTTTCTGTCATAACTATGAGATAAGTGTTTATACTTAATAAATGATAAATAATTACAACATAATTAACTTTCTCCTAAACTTACAATTAACTTGTCTCGTTCACATCATTGTTAATCACAAGGTTAATTAAATCGAAATCGGTAAAGAATACTCAATGTGTACTCTTCTCATGTTGTTTTGATATACTTCAAAAAAAACTCTTTATTATTCACACGACTTTTAAGCAAAATAACCTTTTATATTTCGGATTTGACATTTATATCTCCAGACATTCCGTAATGTTTTTTACCTTTAACTACCGGTTTATAAACATCGATGATAAAAGTAATCTAGTCAAACAGTAAGATTAATGGTATCACTTTTTTTCAACATAAACTAGTTATAGCATTAATCATTTATTTACTGTGATTGATCATCGTTTATTAAAGTGAAAAAGAAGGTATGGTAACTTACACATATAGTTAATCTCATTTTTTTTAAAATAAATGATCCTGGCATTTTTGCATAATGAACTTGGTTTTGTTCTGTGTATACATGCAAGGAGAAGTGACGGTTATACACATTAAAAGAGAGAAAGAAAGCATAATTTTGATATCTTTTCAATACATGTGTATACATCTATCATTGCATGTATGTTTGTATGTATGTTTTATATTCAAGGGGGTAAATAAC